CATTCCAGGATGTCTGTCTCTAGATGAGTGATCACACCATCGTGATCACCTGGGTCGTGAAGATCCCTTTTGTACAGTTCCTCTGTGTATTCTTGCCACCTCTTCTTAATATCTTCTGCTTCTGTTAGGTCCATACCATTTCTGTCCTTTATTGAGCCCATCTTTGCATGAAATATTCCTTGGGTGTCTCTAATTTTCTTGGAAGAGATCTCTAGTCTTTCCCTTTTCAAAACACCATACACAGGGGGCTCACCCTGAGAAGCACAAATCCTTTGACTTTTAAGAGAATAAGGTTTCCCCTACCTTGGTATACTTCTCCTAAGCCTTTCCCCTTGACAGCAAAGCCTGCCTCTTTCACCATGGCAGTGTGTACTGGTCACCATAACAGGACAGGGACGAGACCAAGACTCTGCCCTCCAACCACCATGGAATTACCAGCTAGCAGTGACTCCGGGCCACCCTTGAGCTGGGTCCCTGCTCACTTTTTACCATCTCTGCCCATTTTCAGTCCATGCATATTAGGGGAATTCCCCAGTGCTCTTAACTAGCCTGAGTCAACAGATATTTAACAACAGTCCATTTTCTCCTCACCCTACTCTATGACCTGATGCGTTGGCTACAAAAGAACGTATGGCTGAGTACCTTCGCTATTCACCTGAAACTACCACAATATTGTTAATCGGCTATACCCCAACACAAAATAGAAAGTTTGAAAAGAAAAAAAAGTCAAAAAACAGAAAAATTAAATTTTAATTTAAAATATAATTTTAAAAAGTAAAAAATGAACTCTAGGGCTTCTCTGGTGGCTCAGTGGTAAACAATCCATCTGCTAGTACAGGAGACATGGGTTCAATCCCTGGCCCGGGAAGATCCCACATGCTGTGGAGCAGCTAAGCCCATGGGCCACATCTACTGAGCCTGCGCTCCAGAGCCTGAGAACCACAACCACTGAAGCCTTCACTTCCTACGCCCATGCTCCGCAACAAGAGCAGCCACAGCAGTGAGAAGCCCGCTCACTGTGGCTAGAGAAAAGTCCTGGCGGCAACAGAGACTCAGCACAGCCAAAAATAATATAAATAAATAAATAAAATTATTTAAAAAAAATAAAAAAGAATGTCTATATGTTTGTTCCAGCCTCTATCTTCCTCAACAGGCTTTTACTCTATTGCTTTTGCCACATGTGAGTGTAAGCACACCGTTACCTAGTGGAGGAGATAAAGAAATTACGTCAAAGCTAAGAAGGTTTTAAGCCTTTAATCAGCATCGCGTCTATATTCTACACAATGGAGAAGCGGGTCAGGGGAAAAACCCTGTCCTAAGTAAAGCAAAGGGGGGAAGTTAAGGGAACTAAAGAACCTCCCTGCAATTCTTCTCAGTGAAAACGTAGAAGAGGTACTTTCAAATATCTGGTTCTCCTAACTTTAGGAGGAAATGTTTTTTAAAATGAGTCAACACTGACATAACATCATAATTTTTTCCTTAAGTAACTGTTGGTTTGCTTTCGATAGTTCATTCCCTCTCAATACTTTTTTGAACATACAGATTATGACTTTTCAAAGTTATGAACCCTATGGAATTAGTCTACTGAATTGTAAGACTCATCTTCATGAAGTTAAAGTAGGCCTCTCACCCTTGTCCTGTAACCACTCCCATTTTAAGCACTTACTTTACAGGAGGCACTGTAGGAAGCAATGCATACATCTCATTTTATCTCCAAAACCACCCTGTGAGTTCTACAAATGAGAATGATAATCTCAAAGAAAAACTATCTGAAGTCACACGTTTTATAAGTGGCAGAATTGAGACTGGAACCACTGATTCTAACATTAAACTCTTCCCCAGGGCTGCAGAGTCCAGTGTTTCCAGAGAGTCTGAGATGAAGTCTCTGCAAACGGTCCGGAGAAATTATGGGTGTCTGTGGGGGGATGGGGGGTGTCTCTGTGTGTCTCTTTCCCTAATCTGCTTCCATGATGTGTCATAGAGGAAATTAAAGTCAAACTAAGGCACCACGGAGAGGCTGGGCTGACCAGCATGCTACTCCAAGGTCCACACCAGCATCCATATGTATGAACAGGCCTGCCAGTACTGGGCACAGCTCCAGGCACAGTGTGCCAGGACCCCCTCCCTGAGGACTCCAGATGTTAGAGAGAGCCGTGAAGAAAAGACTAAAAAGAGCTGTGTCTTGCAGTGTTAGGGTGCTGTCCTCAAAGTGAACTGTCCGTGTTCAGCTATTCTAGCTCAGTTTCCCTTTAGATCTAAAATCATAGCTTCAAGTATTAGCACTATTGAGAATTAAGGCAGAATGAACCTGATATTCACTGTGGGGTGAATTCCTGGCGGTCCAGTGGGTAAGAATCCACCTTCCAATGCAGGGGAGAGTTTGATCCCTGGTTGGGAAAGGAAGATCCCACATACTGTGGGGCAACTAAGTCTGCCACAACTTCCAAGCCTGTGCACCACAGCTAGAGAGGAGCACTTGAGCCCTGACTAGAGGAGCCTGCACTCTGTAACGAAGCTCCTACATGCTGTGACTAAACCCAATGCAGACAAATAAACAAATACTTAAAAAAATAAAAATATAACCTAAGAAACACTCAGAGCAAAATGAGAACAGGTACCAACCAGGCTCACGGTCCCTGTTCATGGCTTATAGCTAGATTCTGAACGAGTCACACGGATGCAAGGACTTACCTTTTCCTTAAATACTGCTTCATTCCAGCTCTGCAGGCTTGAAATGGAGTCATTCATCATTTTTTCTTTGCAGATGTTTATTTTTTCTTTTTCGATTACATCAGCATTACTAGTCAGAAGGAAGCACTTGCTCCCTCTTGCTCTTCCTCTGCCTGTTAGAAAATAAACACTTTATTTGGTGTCTTTGACTTAAAACTCTGACAAATGGGAGAATGTGAAAGGGACAGGGCTATTCTTAAAATTCAACTTTGGTTCACTGAATCCCACTTTCTGGAAAAGCTGAGCTGGTAGGGTGTGGAGTCAAATGCAGCTGTGTAGCTGCACATTAAACATTCAGATAAAGCAGCCCACTTCAGGCGGGTTGCTCAGGGTCTCCCTGGTGCAGTGTGATAGGACAGACACATTATTAGACACTGCTTAAAGACAACCCAGCAGGAACCTCCAGGATGACATTGTGAGGGCCCCAACGATGAATGATAAACAGATAGGGAAATGGGGAAATAAGGTATGTTCACAAGACTTGACTGGTGGTCCAGTGGATGGGAATCTACCTGCCAATGCAGGGGAAACAGGTTAAAACTCCTGGTCCAGGAAGATACCACATGCCACGGGGCAACTGAGCTTGTGCACCACAGCTACTGAGGCCACATGCTCTGAAGTCTGCACACCCTAGAGCCTGTACTCTGCAGTGAGACAAGCCAGCACAACGAGAAGCCCGTGGACCGCAACTGGAGAAAAGCCTGAGCAAAAAGCAAGGAAAACCCAGCATTCAGTTCAGTCACTCAGTCTTTGCAACCCCATGAAGCACAGCCCGCCAGGCCTCCTCGTCCATCACCAACTCCGGGAGTCCACCCAAACCCATGTCCATCAAGTCNTCAAGGCTGTATATTGTCACCCTGCTTATTTAACTTATATGCAGTGTACATCATGTGAAATACTGGGCTGGAAGAAGCACAAGCTGGAATCAAGATTGCTGGCAGAAATATCAATAACCTCAGATATGCACATGACACCAGATATGCAGAAAGGGAAGAAGAACTAAAGAGCCTCTTGATAAAAGTGAAAGAGGAGAGTGAAAAAGTTGGCTTAAAGCTCAACATTCAGAAAACTAAGATCATGGCATCTGGTCCCATCACTTCATGGTAAATAGATGGGGAAACCCAGCATAGCCAAAAATAAATAAATATACAACTTTTAAAAAAGAGACATGTTCACAACCACCAGAATATAGGTGGAAAATGAGAGGTGGTATAAAAAAGATGGATAAAAGGGCCACGGGCATTCAAATTAGAGATGACTGCCAGCTGGGAGAATGAGGAGCCGGCGATGCGGAAGCAGGGGGAGAGAAAGAATGAGCAGCAGCAACACATGAGCAAGTCCTTCAACAGGAGACGAGGTGAAGCCAGGCAGGCTGAGGAGGATGACGCCACAGTGCAAGAACGGGAAATGAGGCCGGAAAGATAAGAGGGCGCGGATTCTGAAAATGCTTTAACATCAAGGACATTTGGGAACCATGGGAGTTTCTATACAGGGAGGTGAGACGCTCAGAGCTGTTTTTCAGGAAAAACAATGTGGCAGCTGTAGTTATGGAAATTAAGGAAAAATAAGAAAGGCTAGTTAGGAGGCTGCCTAGTTCCAGTGGGACAGAACTTGCAGTGTCCTTTCTGGCACACAGGGGACCCACCAGCGCCCAAGCACAGCCACGAACCGTTCACTTGTGACTGCCGAAGCCTCAAAGCTGGAATTTTCCTTCCATCAATATGTCAGCCAATATTAACCAAGAAAGCAGTATTCATTGTGAACAAGAACAAAAATAGACAGAATTGTGGACAAAACTATAGCCACCCCATCCTGAACAAGTAGGTCACCATAAGGGCCAATGATGGAAGGGTCCACTGTGCCACCAGTCACAGTAAACGAGAAGGGCTGGATGACAGACACATTCACAAGTCAGACAAAACGGTAGCCTTTGAGTCCTGGCATCAAAGCTCTTCTTACCTCTGGTTTGGATCATTTTGATGACATTGCCCACATACTCGTAGAGGATGACCAGATTGCACTGAGCAATGTCAATGCCTTCGTCAGCAACCGAGGTAGCAATTAGAATCTTGCTGTCTCTGTTGGTTCTGAATGCATCCAATGCACACTTCTGTGCTGGGAGGGTCATTCCTGTGTCAGAGGGCATTACAAAACTCACCAAGAGGGAACTTTACCATTGAAAAAAATAGCTGCTAATTATGGAAAGCTTACGACATGCCAGGTACTGTGATAAGTGCTTTACCTTCATGATCTCACAACAAGCCTTGGGGTAGGCCCTATCCATGTCCTTGCTTTAAAGAAGATAAGGTGGGGGTCTGACATCTTGGACTCTATCACAAGCCTGCCTGACCTCAAATTCCAGCTGCAGCTCCTACTAGCTATGTGGTTTCGGTCACGATATCTCAAAACAAATATTAAATTTTTTGAAAAAATACCAACAGCTTGACAAGTATCATAGGATACCACTTATGTGTAGAATCTAAAGAAAAGGGTACCAATGAATGTATTTACAAAACAGAAGTAGTCATGGATGTAGAAAACAAACATGGTTAGCAGAGGATAAGGGAGGAAGGGACACACAGAGATTGGGACTGATATATCATAGGATACCACTTATGTGTAGAATCTAAAGAAAAGGGTACCAATGAATGTATTTACAAAACAGAAGTAGTCATGGATGTAGAAAACAAACATGGTTACCAGAGGATAAGGGAGGAAGGGACACACAGAGATTGGGACTGATATATACACACTACTATACAAAAAATAGATAACTAATAAGAACCTGCTTAATCCTCTGTAATGGCCTATATAGGGAAAGAATCTGAAAAAAAAAGAGTGGCTATATGCATATGTGTAACTAATTCACTTAGTTGTATACCTGAAACTAACGCAACGTTGTAAATCAACTATTTCCAATAAAAATTTTAAAAATATATCAATAGCTAACTGTAACACCTTTGTGCACATCCAGGAGTTCTCAGCTAACAAGACCTTTTCACATCTACTTACTCACTGGAACTTCACAAGGCCCTTTTTAGGTTGATACGGCAAATGTTATGATTCCCCTTTACTACAGGTGAAGACCTGGATGTTTTGGAGGCATAGTAAACTGACAGCTAACTAGCCAAACCAGGCTTGGAATTTAAGTTGAGGACCCTACCACTGTGCAGTTTCTAGCCACTGATACACTGAGAAGAGCAGGAACTTAAGTGGTGTTCACCTCAGAGTTAACAGAATTTATAAAAGTTCCAACTCTGTCCCAGTAAATTGGCAGTAAAATTTTGACATATATTTTGCCAAGGCCAAAACAATTTCTTTTCACCATGATCTATTGAACAATGACCATGCCCAAGACAGACACCACACTTCACTAATTTCTGAATTTAACTATTTGTTCATCAAACATTTATTCTGCAATTATGGTTTGTCAGATAAGGATAGAATGGTTAAAAGGTTCATTTTTATCTAAAGGGAGCTCCCAGTTTGTGGAAGAAGGCTATACATGGGAAACTATGATTCAGTGCGATGACAATGAATGGAGCCAGAACTGTGTGCTGTGGGATGTGGGCGAGGGAGACTCCACCCTCGTGATCTAGACTTAGGAGGAGGGGGAGGCTGCCGGGCAGAAGCACAGTTACTGGCACAGAGTGAGTTCTCAGTGAATATGGGTGGATGGTGGATGGATAGATGAACAAATGAATGGATGGATGAATGGAGGGATGGACAAACAAATATGAAAAATATCTTCTGGATGCTATGTATGGAAGAATAACAAAGTGTGAAATCAAGTTGGACTCATGCTGGAGTCATACAGCAGAAGACTTAATTCCAACCACAAGGTAGTGTTGGACCTCATTTGGTAAGCAGCCAACTATTCAAAATCTGACTTTGCTTTTTAGATTAATGAGGCTTAAATTTTGCATAAAGGGAATCTTCAAGGGTGATGACCAACGACTGACAGCAGGACTGTTTATTATAAACAGCACTAAATAAGAGATACAGTGAGGACATGTTATTGCCTGTCACTGGGGGGTGGGGAGCATGGCTGTGAGAATGTCAGCATGAGGACTGGCCACCTAGGATCAAAGCTGCCTTTCATCCTTTAACCCCCCCACCTAGATTTTAGGATTATCTCTAGGACTTTTTTTAATTATAAAATACATAATGCATATAAGTCTTTTTATATTTTAAAGAATAACAATAAAATAGAGAACATTTCTATTTCCAGTTAATCTACTGGTTGAAAATTTGAGCAAGAGAGTAACATACTCAAACAATATTAAAAACAAAACAGAACTTTGGTTTTGTCTGCAGGACATATGGGAGGAGGAACGTCTACAAGTTTCTGACATTTGAGCATGGAGATGGCTTTTCAATGTGTTCACTGAGCTAGGCTTAACTGCAATCCCCAGATGTTCACCTAGGTGTTTCTGTGAAGGGGATTTGCAGATGTAATTAAACTTCTTAAATCAGTTGATATGGTGACTCAATAGGGACTGCATTTTAGGCAGGCCTGACCTAAACAAGGCGGCCCTTGAAAAGAGGACTGAGGTGATCCCTGACCTCAGAGACTCTGGACAGCTCATGCCTATGGGGTTCCACTGCTCCTGACCTGCCCTGCAGACTCAGACTGGCTTTGCCATCCAAGTGTGTACGTCAATTCCTTGTACTAAATCCCTGTGTGCCTGTCTGTGTACAATATACATGTGTTGCTATATATATATATGAATGTGTATATATATATATGTATTTATAACCTCCTACTGATTTTGCTTCTCTGGTTGAACCCTGACTGATACAAGCACTAAGAAAGAATTAAAATATATCCTATATGTTCTTATATATATAGTATATTAGATCTAATGCCCTATATATAAATACCCATTGTCTGATTTGTTCTGCCACGTCCAGTCAATACGCCAGGTTTTAGAAAGCTGAGCCTAGGATGTTCTTCAATCCAGTTCTTTAAGGCCTGAAAATACAAAGCAGTTGTCAGCTGGATACTATTCTGTATTAAATCAATATTGCATATATGCCGCCTGATTTGAAGAGCTGACTCATTGGAAAAGATCTTAATGCTGGGAAAGAATGAAGGCAAAAAGAGGGAATGGCAGAGGATGGGATAGTTAGATAGCACCACTGACTCGATGGACATGGATTTGAGCAAACTCCAGGAGATGCAAACTCCAGGAGATAGTGGAGGACAGGGGAATTTGGCATGTGGCAGTCCATAGGGTCACAAAGAGTTGGACATGACTTAGTGACTAAACAACAATGCAAGTAGAAAAAAAGCTTAAAGTTAAAGATAATGGAAAAGAATTAAAAAAGAATGTATGTATATGTATAACTGAATCACTTTGCTACACAGCAGAAATAAACACATCATAAATCAACTCTACTTCAATTTTTAAAAAGTATACAGACAAGTATGCTGAAGTAGTTTTCAGACTAATAGACCTGAGGAATCAAAAGCTTCTAGTGATTGAATTCTATGCAATAAATAAATATAATGGTGTCTCTCTTTGTAATCTGATATGATTCAATTTCTAAGACATCTTTTCAGTGAAAAAGGCAAGGTTCAGAATAGTGGGTAGGTAGAAAATAAGTGAATTTAGAAAGATCTCAGGACACAAGATCAATATACAGACATTAGTTGTATTTCTGAATACCAGCAACAAACAAAAGTACCATTTATAACAGCATTAATACTTAGGTATAAGTTTAACAAAATCTGTGCGCAGAATCGGTATGCTGAAAATGACGAAACACTGATTAAAAAAACCAAAGAAGATGTGGCAGGTGGCCTCTAAGGTAGCTGTGAGTGATCTCCACCCCCTGGAATTCAGATTCTGTTTAATCCTTTCCCCTCAAGTGTGAACTGAACTTACTGACTTGCTTCTAATGAATAAAATAAGGCAGACCTGAAGGGAATCACTTCCAAGTTGAAGCTATAACATCACTGTGACCTTGACACTGGGTGCCCTCTCAACCTCTCTTGGATCACTTAACTCTAGGGGAGGCCAGCACCCCTTTGTGAGGCCGGCCTGTGGAGAGGCCCCCATGAATGAGCTAAGCATGTGTGTGCATACTTAGTCATTAGGTCATGTCCAACTCTCTTTGCGACCCCCATGGACTGTAGCCCTCCAGGCTCCTCTGTCAATGGGATTTCCCAGGCAAGAATACTAAAGTGGGTTGCCATTTCCTTCTCCAAGGGATCTTCCTGACCCAGGGATCAAACCCGTGTCTTCTGTGTTTCCTGCATTGCAGGCAGATTCCTTACCCACTGAGCTATTGGGGAAGCCACCATGAATGAGCTAAGCGCATCTTCTACCAAAAACCACACAAGTGGGGCTGGGGGTTGATCTTCCCAGCCTTGAGATGGCTATAGCCGTGGCCAACAACCTGACTGGAGCCTCGTGAGACGTCCTGAGACGGAAACACTTGATTAGTTGTTTCCAGATTACTGACCCATACACATTATAAGATGATAGACGTCTGTTGTGTCCGGCTACTTAGTTTGGGGATAAACTGTTATCAGCAGTAGATAACGAATACAGAAGCCCTATATACATAAAAAAGATACACTGTTATGATATCATTTCTCCCCAGCTTTGTCTATAGGTTCAGTGCAATCCCAAATGAAATTTCAATAGATTGTCTCATAGATGTGGATGAGTTTATTCTAAAATAAAAATGGAAAGGTAAAGAAAGGTAGCTAAGACAATGTTGAAAAAAATTTAAAAGTTGAAAGACTCACACTACCTGATTTCAAGACTTAATTACTAAAAAAAAAAAAAGACTTAATTACTATAAAGCTACAGTAATCAAGACCGCATAGGACGGGTGAAAGTATAAATGTATAGATGAATGGAACAGAATACATAATCCAAAAAGAGAACAACATGAATACAGTCAACTGATCTTTTTAAGTAACAAACGCAATTCAGTGGAGAAAGGATAGTCTTTTCATCATATATGCTGAAACAATTGGATGCCCACATGCTAAGAGGAAAAAAGTCTCAATCCATACTTCAAGATGAATTGTAGACTTAAATATAAAATCTAAATCTATAAAACTTCTAGACAATAACATAGGAAAAAAAATCTTTGTGTTTTCGGTAGGTAAAGGTTTCTTAGACACAAAATCAAAAGTACAATCCACAAAAAGAAAAAAAAGATAAAATGGACCTGTCAAAGGTTAAAACTTTCAGTAAGAGATATGGTTAAGAGAATGAAAAGATCTTGAAGAAAATGTTTGCAAATCACATTTCTGATAGAGGATATTTTCGTCAGAAAAAAGAACTCTCAAAAAACTAACAACAATAACTTAAAAACTCAACAATAATAAATAACCCAGTTAAACCCAATTTTAAAATGGGCAAAAGATGTAAACAGACACTTCATCAAAGGAGATACATGAACAGCTAATGAGCATATGAAAAACTGCTAAATCATATTAGTCACTAGTGAAATACAAATTAAAACCTTAGTGAGGTACCACTAGATGCCCATAGACATGGCTAAAATTTTTTTAATTGACAGAAAGAATAAAAATCTGTGAAGTGCTTGCTGTGAGTGTATCAAGGCATTATAAACCAGAGTGATTGAGACAGTGAGGTATTAGTGTAAGGATAAACAAACAGAAAATCAGAAAAGAATAAAGAGCCCAGAAACAGACCCACACAGACCCTATATAGGGATGCTTAATTGCAAAGAAGTGAAGAACAGACAATCTTTTAAATAAAATGATACTGGGCCAACTTGTTTTCCACAAGTAGGAAGAAGCTTACATCCACTAGCGCTCGGGTTTTCGCAAAGAGGATGGTTCTGGTCTCTGGGTTTAAGTGGTATTCCTCTTGCAAGACGAAGCTGAGATCTTCAAGTTTAGGGTTCTCATTACTGGGATCCATGGAAATATCTTCTAGTTCCAACAGCTTTTCTGCAAAAAGGGGAATATTTTACAAAAGGCTTATGTGCGTGTGCTAAGTCGCTTCAGTCATATCCAACTCTTTGCTATGCTAAGGACTATACCCCACCAGGCTCCTCTGTCCATGGTATTCTCCAGGCAAGAATACTGGAGTGGGTTGCCATGCTCTCCTCCAGAGGATCTACCTGACCCAGAGGTCAAACCCACATCTCTTGCAACTCCTGCATTGGCAGGCAGGTTCTTTACCACTAGTGCCACCTGGGAGCCCACAAAAGGTTTATAAATTCTAGCAATTTAGAACACACTGCAACCTCTAGCTATAGTTCAAACATTTCATCTCTCAATCTCTGACCAGAATTTTATCATAACCACCAATGCAATGCATTCACTGAATACACTAATAAATGCATAAATTTCCCCTCCCCCCAGAGCTAGTTGTTAAGTGTTTAGCATATGTATAGTTAATACTTTGGTATAGACCAAAAATTATTATTTGGGAAAAGGCATTTGAGAGAGGAAGAAGAAAGACTTACTTTTCATTTAATATTTTCCTATATTTTTCTTAATATCAACACAGTGGCATCATGAGCCATATCAGTTTTCTTCTTTATATAGAAGTACATAATTACAATCTTGTTTGGTCATCAAGTCATGTCCAACTCTTTGCTCCCCATGAACTGCAGTACAAAAGGCTTCCCTGTCCTTCACTATCTCGCAGAGTTAGCTCAAATTACAGTCTAAATATCATTAAAACATTTTTATATTTTTTAAATCTTTATAAAATTACCAAAAGTTAAACCAAAAAATGTTCCTATCAATTGACTATTTCTGTGGGATGTATCTTTTGCAAATCCTACTATTTTTCCCTTCTTCGAAACAGGAAAAAGTGTAAGCAGCAGATTCTTTTCCTAAGTGCAGATTTCCCTGAAGTTTCACAGTCCTGCCACGTATCCTATCTTCTTAAGCCCAGGACAAGTCCCTGAGCATCACCAGGTGTTGCTAAGTGTGACACCATATGTGTATGCTGCCCCTGGAGTCTCCAGGCTCTACTGGTTTCCTCCCCCTGGAAACACCACCTACCTTCAAATCTCTGAGTGAGATCTTGCTCAATTGCATCAAATCCTGCTGCCCGGACATTTCTGAAGAAGTTTTTCAAGTAATTCAGAGCATCTTTCACCCGTGCATCCTCATTGATAATGAGGGCATCATTGTATTTCTGTTGAAAATGGAAACTTTCAGTATGTTTCTAATGTCTAATACAACTGCTATACTTAAGTTCATTTCACTGTATTTAACAGAGAATTAATTTTAATAATAAACTTGTCTCAAGTCTATTCCAACTTAGTTTTTAAAGATAATTGCCTCTAACAGTACTGCAATAAAACCCTAGAACCATACTGTTAAAAAACAACAACACACCTCAATTAGCTAGAATTAGTCATTAATTTGGATCACTTTGGATCCTAGAATCCTTGGAAGAGAAAGAAAATTACATGAAAAATGCATGTCAAAGATTAAATCACAAAAATGAAAGCAAAGCAACTTCCACATGAACCTGCTTCATAATTCAGACATTCAATTTAACCTCTTTGTACATCCAAAGCCATCACTGAATTACACCAGATATTCAGTTAAGTTCATTAAAATTCTACAAATTCACATGGATTGAATGTATTTTAAAATATTTTCAATGGCATGATAAGCAGAGGTGATGGTGGTAACTGTTGCTTAGGTTCTTGGTTAACCAGCAAACAACTACAGACTCTGGATTTCTTAGCATGTGATTTTGACCAAAGGTAGGAAAATGTGCTTCAGGCTATGGCAACATGACGCACCTACTGAACTTTAAAGACTTTAAAGATGGCTGTCCCTGGTCATGTATCTATAGTCATATTCATCACCCCCAAGGTCAAATATGAGGATACTGAGGTAGAGCACAGACCCATGGCCTTTGTTTCTGTCCCTCAGCCTCTAGGGCTAGGTTTCAGAGAGCAAAGATAGATGCTGAATAAGATAGCTTTTGGCATTTGCTTCATAAGAGCCACCGGCAAAGTTCCTAAACGATGCTCTCTCAGCTGCCACACATAGCTCCCAGTAGGTGTTACGACTGAAACATCCTTTTCCAAAGAAGCTGCTNGGGTTAGTTGCTCCACGGCATATGGGATTTTAGCTCCCTGAGCAGGGATTGAATCTTCATCCCCTGCATTGGAAGGGAGATTCTTAACCACTGGACTGCCAGGGAAGTCCCCTCACCCATTCATCTTTAATCAGACAAACAAAGGCAGTTACCCAACAAGTAGCAGTAGCCCCATCTACAACCAAAGGGATATCAATAAATGAGAGCAATCAATAGGTATTTACTGAATGTAGGTAGGTGCAAAAATGAACTAAGCCATCTAGCAATGAGCAGCTGACGGCATCTGAACAGGTGAAGAAATGGCAGGAGGGTACAAGAAACAAGAAGAATAAGAAGGCAGAAAGTAATGTCTCCCCACCCTTCTCCACCTCCACAGCCCTGACCACGTCCTAACACTTCTGGATAAAACCCTGATCTCCCCCTACCTGGTCTCCTCACCTCCTTCCTCCTTCCCTCCAGTCTAGTCTCCATTCAACAACCGGGGGGAATTTCCAAAATTGCAGATGAGAGACAATGCTAATCCACTAGCTAAAAGCCTTTAGGGAGGGACTTCCCTGGTGGTCCAGGGGCTAAGACTTCGCCTTTCAAAGCGAGCGTGCAGGTTTGACCCCTGGTCAGAGAACTAGGGTCCCAGATGATGTAAGGCCCTGTGTGTTGCAACTAAGACTTAGTACAGCCAAATAAATAAGCACACGTTATCTTTTAAAGTCTTGAGGGTCTCCCTTGGTGGTCCAGTAGCTAAGGCTCTGCACTCCCAGTGAAGGGGGCCTGGGTTTGATGCCTGATCAGGGAACTGGATCCCACATGCCGCAACTAAGACCCAGCACAGACAAATAAATAAATGTTTAAAATAACAATAATAAAAGCTCTAAAAAATAAAATACAAGTGTTTAGTGGATTTCTCCAGCCAAACTCCTAGTCTGGCCCAGAGGGGGCTCTGTGGTCTAGCTTCTGACTCTCCCCTCTAGCGACTTTCCTTCCTACAGTTCTCAGGATTAGTGAAAGCCCCCAGACTCCCTCCAGGCGCCTGTCTCCTCTGCCGGAAATACCCCTTACCCCCACCGCTCCCACCACTCCCCGGCCCCACCCATGCTGCCTTACTGCTGCTACCAGCTCGCCTCTGGCACTGCTGTTGGCCAAACTGAAAATGCCGCGAGGGCAGGGGTTGTGTCTGAGGGTCCACGCTGCGTTCCCACCACCGAGCACTTAGCCCAGCGCTGAATGAACAAACAAGAGAATGAATTTGTTCGAGGGAACAGCTAACAAGCAAGGAGCGGAAAGTTGGCAAGAGAAGCAGAACCAGATGGTGTGAGCAGGGCGCACGGCAGCTGAGCAGCCGGCCGTGAGAGCTCTGCCTGGAAGAACAAGGAAGCCAGCAGGACACTGACGAGATAAAATGGGTAATTTCAGGCTGGGTAATGGGGGTTCGACAGGAAAGAGGGTAGAGGCGGGCAAAGCAGCTGTGAGAACAAGTTGTTAGAAATCAAGCTGTGAAAGAAAGAAGAGAAATTAAGCGTGAGAGAAGGTGAGACACAGAAGTTACCTTGCAGACAAGAATTCAACATCTCCAAAACTCTGAACTCACTTGCACATGCCAAAGCTGCTCCTCGGGCTGGAACCAGTAAGACCTGCCGGGGCACACACAAGTGCCCAGAGAGAAGCCCCGCACTCGCTCGCTCGCTCACTCCCACCCAGACCCAGTGAGCCCTTAAATCTGAACACTTCTGTTTGCACGAGCCTGTTCCCTTCCCTATCCCATCTCCACTGCCTCACTTGGGCTCTCTTCATTTCTCGTCACAGAACTTATCAGTTCAAAATCATGCGTTGCTTCCCATTTGCTTTTAGGATATCTATTTAATTATTTGGCAGTGCTGGCTCTTAGTTGTGGCGTGCGGGATCTAGTTCCCTGACGCCAGATGGAAGCCAGGCCCCTGGCATTTTGTGCGGAGTCTTACCCACTGGACCACCGGGAAAGTCCCACTTCTAGGATAAAATTCAAACTCAGCACGGCCTACAGGACACCTTCACTGTCTGCCTCTGGCCTCTCCCCCAGCCCCACTCTCCTTTCCACTCGTCCCCTGTTAGAATGAGCATGAAATCCTGCAGATTCTAAAATCCACTGTGCTCTCTTCCCTCTGCAACTGCTGTCTTTCTTACTTCACTTGATCACCTCTCCTTAACCTGGCTGACCCAAGACCTGTCTCACACATCACCTCCCCCAGGAAGCCCTCCCTACAGCCCAGTCCTGGCCTAAGTTCCCCTGCGCGCCCGTAACAGCAGTGTGTAACCCTGCCTTGCCACAGGGTGACTACTCACATCTGATTCTCATTGTTAGATGGTGTGTTCCTTGAAGGCAAGACTGTCTTTAATCTTAGTGCTTCCTTTACCTAGCATAGTACCTGGCACAATACCCGGTCAATTAATTACTTGATTTAAAAAAGGAGAAGTGAACTTGGCAACTTCAAGAGAGTCTCAAAAGAATAAAGAATCAAAGGTCACCCGTAGGTTTGAATCCAAGACTTCAGGGCAATGGTGGTTTCATTCATATAATGAAAAGCTATATTTGGAAGGTCAAGAAAGCAATGAATTGATTTAAATATGGTATTTCAGGTGTGTGTGTCTAGGTGGATATACTTTGGATTTAAAAAGGAAAAAAAAAGCAAGAGAAAATAAAGGAGGACTTATAAGCCTCCTGAACAACATAAACAAGAAAGTCAAGCTCTGGGTATGGTCTTGACATTATTTGGACTAAGAAAAGTACAAAAAGATCCCAGTGAACAACAGATGGCTGTTCCCAGAGGGACAGAAGACAAAATGAGGTTATTCTCACCAAGAGTTACGGTCCCAAGTTCTTCAAAGATACTCTTTGCCAGAGCCTCCGTCTCTGCCATCAGCTGAGATATGATGCATTTAAATCTGTCTGTAGTCCGTGATTCCACTTTCCTGAAAACTAGAGCCGTCAAAGGAAAGTTAGTATTTCTCAGGAAGAACACGTCATAGTTGAAAGCAGGTGTCTCAACCCTTTCTCAGCCTTTGTCACTTCCTCCGTAAAACCTGAGGCCCCAAGTTCACAGGCATCTGAATTATGAAACGAATACTCAAGACACCTTGCAGCCACTCCCTAGTGTTTAATGCACTCATTCTAACATTTTTCATGGTCCAGGTCTAATTCAACTTCTTTTTAAAACTAGTTTTATTTATTTTTGGCTGTGCTGGGTCTTCACTGCTGCATGGGCTTCTCTCTAGTTGCGGCGAGCAGGGGCTACTCTCCAGTTGGGGTCCGTGGGCTTCTGATTGTGGTGCCTTCTTTTGATGAGGAGCACAGACCCTAGGGCATGTGGACTTCAGCAGCTGGCTCAGTAGCCGCAGCTCCCACGCTCTAGAACTCAGGCTGAGTAGTTGGGGTGCAAGGGCTTAGCCGCTGCATGTCATGAGGGATCTTCCCGGAACAGGGATTGAACCCATGTCTCCCGCATTGGCAGGCGGATTCTTTACCACTGAGTCACCGGGGAAGCCCTCAGGCAAATTTTAGATTCTAGTTTTCCACATGCATATCTGGTGGAAGAGGTCAGAATCACGAGGCCTGGGAGCTGGGAGTCCTCAGTCACACTTCAGACTCTGCAATCAAAAGCTCTGGGGCCTTGGGCAAGCACCTCAACTTTCCTGGGGCTGTTTTCTCCCCTCAAAACTGCCCCGCTGCTGCCTTTTTGTCACCAAGTCACGTCCAACTCATTAATGACCCCATGGACTGAAGCCCTCCAGGCTCCTCTATTCATGGGATATCCCAGGCAAGGATCCTGGAGGGGAGTGCCATTTCCTTTCCCTAATTCAACTTCTTACTGGGGCTTTCCTGTGAACTCAATACAGAGCTCCTGCTCTGACTAGGCTGATATCCATCTTGTTTCTGCAAATACCATATTTTAAGCCCTGTCTCTGTTCTTTGATCTTCTCCCTTCCCACCCAATCCCCAGGGGTGTTCACAATGTTCCAAATATTCATTTTTGCAGTATCCACAGAACATGCTGTGTTCTGGTGATAGCTGAAAAGAACATGCTCTGCGCTCCAGAGAACACTGTCTTCTTAGGAGAGAAAGATACACAAGGCAGGTGACCAGGCAGAGAGCTGTGACACAGTATGTGCAAAGTGCCATGGACCACAGGAGGCTTCTCTCATTCTTCCCGGGGCAGCAATGTCATCAGATAAATAGGGGAAGAGGCAGGGAGGAGGGTGCACAGTCATATGCAAAGGCTGGGATGGACAAAGCTTAGAGAGAGAATACATATGACTCCTCCATCTGAGGAGCCCAGAGAAATGCAACTTGGTTGGGTTTGTGGGAGGTAAAAGGAGATGAAGCTCAGAGCGTGAGAAAGACCAGATGATAAAGAAATTTGCGCCTGTCCAACTCTTTGCAACTCTTTTGGACTGTAGCCCACCAGGCTCCTCTGCCCAAGGGATTTTTCAGGCAAGAATACTGGAGTGGGTTGCCATTTCCTTCTCTGGGGGATCTTCCTGACCCGGGGACTGAACATGCATCTTCTGTGTCTCCTGCATTGGCAGGCAGATTTTTTTTTTTTTTTTTTTTGCTGCTGAGCCATCGAGGAAGCCCAAAGAAATTTGTATTCGACGTGAAAAGTTGTAGGTTGAGTACCTTGTCTAAATTCCTTACAGCCAGCGCCCTGACTGTCTTAAGTGTGTTTGTTCTGCCTTGTACTCATTTGGTCGTATGCCATTTAGAGAGTAAGGGGTGAAGTTATATGTGTCTTCCATACCCTGTCTCCCTTGCTGGGTTAGTATAGCATCGATATTCATGAAATATCAATCTTTGTTGGTCAATCTTGGTAATCAAATCATATTCTGATCTTTTGAGGAAAGACAGGATGAGTTCAGATACTTTCACTTCAACCAAAATTCCAGATACATATTCAAATAATGGATAGGAACTCAGTATCATCCTCAGGCACAGAAGGCAGGAAGCACCGAGCCACATACATGCTAAGGTGTTCTCAGCACCTCTCTCACTGCCAGTACCTTAGTTAAGTTTTATGGAAATGAACAGTAAGAATGATTGCTTTTTACAGGCCACTCCTGAGCTTCACTGGGAAGAGAAGCTGGAAATATGATTATTCTCCAAGTTTGCAGTTTAATATTTTCCTCTAAACAGAGAAAGGGTAAAAATTCAGTGTTCATCTACATGACCCTGAACTAATAGCAGAGGGTAACAAAGTCCCAAAGGGCTTGTGACTGGATCCCACTTACACTTCTGGGGCTTATAAACAACCTCCTCCAGTTCCTCCAAGTTGTCTCTGACAGTTGTTACCACTGATGTGTCGAGAGAAGCACACAGTTTGCAGATATATTCTGTGGCTTCGGCTGTATTTTTGGCATCTCCAACGCCAACTGAGGCAGTCAGCCCAATGACCTGTGAGGAGCATTCCAAATTGTCAGATGTCTGGGAAATAGCAAGATGTTTCCACAATCCCTCATGTAACTCTTTCCTGCTAAAGTAGGGTTTTTATTTTTAAAACTAACTTCAGATAAAGAACGTTACTTTTTTTTCCTGACATTCTCTAGGACATCAAAAATGGAAAGGTCCCCATTAGGTGAAGCACTGAGTAAATGCAGGAGTCACCGCCCAGCAGCTGAACACAGATCAGCACAGCAGCCCAGAGAAGAAACCCTTTCCGGCAGGACCTCTCTGTCTTTACCCTCGTTTACCCGTGACACACGCAACAATACACTAAAAAGGGCAACGGCTAAAATCAGACATGCTCCCATTTCAATCTCAGCCGTGTCACATGGCTGGGTGTCTTGGACAAAAGTCTTCATCTCTCTGTAAAGTTGGGAAACTTTAGCCATTTAAACTGGAAGTTGTGTGACACACAGAATGGACTTGTTGTTGCCGAGGGAGAGAGCGGTGGGGGCAGGCTGGACTGGGAGTTTGGGATTAGCAGATACAAACTATTATATATAGGATGGATAAACAGCAATGTCCTACTGTATACACAGGGAACTATATTCAATATCCTGTGATAAACCATAATGGAAATGAATATGAAAAGAATGTATATATATATATATATAAAATGGAATTGCTTTGCTGTAAGCAGAAATTAATACAATACAAATTAATATTATAAATCAAATATGCTTCAATTTTTAAAAAATGACAGCTTCAATTTTTAAAAAGTGATAACTTCAATTTTTAAAAAAATGGTAGCTGGGTGAGTTCAATAAGATGACATTTGTAAAGAATTTAATTTAATGGTCTTCTAATAAATACTTATTTCTTCCTCTAATAGTCACTCAAATATTGAATGATTGAATGAATCATTCAAATAAACAAGGAATCTAGTTAACTATCAATTTTATTCTAAAAAACTGAAAGAGTGTGATTTCTACTAAATTCTGTCTGAATTTTGGGCACCATACTGGATTTCTTCTAACCTGTGCTTCCTAAATGGTTAATTGTTACACCTAGAGAATGCAAGACGAATGTGAGACAGGTGAACCAGAGGCATGGTTTCCAACCTCATTCGGCCTCAGTAATACCAGGCCGTCCATCTGTGTTCCTCTCAGTTGTGTCTCCCATTTCAACTTTTCTCAACGCTCCTGAGCTCCCACCTCCATTCTCATCTTGATTTTTCTCAGTGAACCATCTCTCTTTCCTTCATTCAAGAGAAAACGCCAGGGATTCCATACCCTTCCTGCCCCCATCTATAAACTATTCTCTGTGTTGACTTCTCAGCCCCTCCCCTCTGATGACACCAAAAATAGCGTCTCGTCTGCTCTCCTGTACTAATCCATCTGCTCATCCCATACCCTCTGGTCTCTCCTGGCATCTTGTTGCCAGTCATTCCCTCTCTCCCATCCTGCCCCTCTATCCACAACTTCATACTCTGCACTCAGGCAATATTAAGGACTTCATGATTCTCGGGGATTCCCTGGCAGTCTAGTGGTTAGGACTCAGCATATCCACTGCTGGGCCTGGGTTCAATCCCTGGTTGGGGAACTAAGGTCCCCGTAAGCTATACAGCACAGCCACAAAGAAACAGAAACAAAACCTTAAGCTTCTCAAGCCCCTGTGCACTTTCATACCCCTGTGGCTCCAGACACACAGTAGCCTTTACTGAAAACCATCCAGCTATTTTCCTTGTAAACTATTGTTAGTTTTTACCTATCCTACGTTCTATTAGGTCTTCCTTTACTTTCATAGCACATTTAAGATCGTTTTGATTTCTTCTCTGTACAACTCCACCGTGTGTCATCACCACAAATCGTGACATAATTCTCACACATCTGGCTCCCCACAAAGCCTGAGCTGCTTGAAGGCAAGGACTATCTTTTCATGCTTGTGACCCAGTGCCTCACACACGGCATGACACATGGAGGTACCTAATACATATTTGTTAAGTGAGTAAATGAATGAATCAATCAAAATTAACCTAAAGAGTTGTACAGTATGCAAGGATCTAAGAAGGACATCCTCGATACAGCCAAAAGGGTAAGTATACAGGATTTAGAAAGAAATCCATCTGACTTTGGACATACCTGGGGCAGTGAGTCTGAAGATCCTCCCAGTTTCTGATCTAGATAATTAAACATGATCATATTATATGGATGGTGTTTATTGGTGTTGTGGCATTCATCAAATATCATCAAAGTAAAGATGGAGAGTGATGGAACAGTCCCATTTTTAAAGCTGTTCACAAGAATCTGTGGTGTTAAAATGATGATGTCATTGTTCTCAATAATCTGTTCCACAGAGACATTGTCAGCTGTCGCTCCAGAAATGCCTGCAACTTTGTACCTGGAAGATGACAGAAATGTCCCATTAGTAGCCATGATATGAATGAATAAGGAACTACAAAGATCAGAATGTCAATTCCGGGGTGGGGAATACATGTAAATCCATGGCTAATTCATTTCAATGTATGACAAAAACCACTGCAATGTTGTAAAGTAATTAGCCTCCAACTAATAAAAATAAATGGAAAAAAAAATAAATTATTTAAAAAAAAAAAAAAAGAATGTCAATTAAATTCTCCCTAAGTCCAAAAGGAATGGATTTGCAGAAAAGGTAAGTGCTTGGAGCAAAGCCTGACACATAGTAAAGTGAAAAAAGTGAGTGTTAGTCGTGTCAGACTCTGCTACCTGTGGACTGTAGCCTGCCAGGCTCCTCCGTCCATGAGATTCCCCAGGCAAGAATACTGGAGTGGGTAGCCATTCCCTTCTCCAGGGGATCGTCTTGACCCAGGGCTCGAACTAGGATCTCCTGCATTGTCAGTAGATTCTTAACTGTCTCTGACATATAGTAAGTGATCAATAAATGTAATCTAGGAAGAATTGCTAGTATTAATAGTATATATTCCATGTGGCACCTGCAGATACAGAGGACCAACCATAATTCTTTCAAGCCACAATGAAAGAAAATAGAAAAGAGTAATATTGAATAAATTATAAAATAATTTAAAAAGTTAAATGTGCCATTTAAATATAAAATTTATCTTAAGTCATTTACTCACTCTACAAGAGCTAATCAAAAGAGTTTAGGATTTCAGGTGTATCCATGAAGGAGTTACATCTAAATTATAAAAAAGCTTAATCTACTATAAGTTTTTTGAATCATGGTTTTCCAAAAGCAAAACAAAGCAGAAAACACATCAGTTACATGACCTAGAGAAAAAGAAGCTGGACCAGCTCATACTTACCCAAGTCTTTCAAAATGTTTTGAGAACACAGATTTCTGCTGTTCATACACTGGGAGTTGAACAGCAAAAAAGACAACTTTCCCCTTTCGTCCTTGTGGAAATTTCTTAAGATGATGTTCACATATAAGAAGTGAAACAAAGGTTTTTCCACAACCTTTTAACATATAAAGAGAAAGACAACAGACAAGTAAACGGATGATGGGGGTGGGTTAACAACTGAAAAACTTACACTCTGACTCAAAAACCAAGCTACTTCCTAGGTAACATGCACTCGCACACAGCCAGGGACTGCAGGAAGCTAAAAGAAAGCATTTTCTCTACTTCCTCGTGTCCCTGAAAACAGGAGACTATATGAATAGAATGGTTTTTTCAAAAGATAAATGGAACAATGAAACAATTGAAACTTGCCTACTTGGTCCCAGTGAAAAAAAGGAAGCGAACAGAGAAATAAACTATTTCAGTAATTGCATCTGCTTACCAGTAGGAGCACATATTATTGTGTTCTTTCCCTTCTGAGCGGGTAAAGCAAGCTCTAGTTGGTAATTTCTTGGTTTCAATGGGCTATAAGTAGGAGGCACTCCTGTAATACAACAGAAACTAAGTTAGCAAATAGTGACCACTCTGAGGAATCAAGTCAACACTATCTTCCAAAGGACAAGAAATCTGACTCTAGCAAGAAACACCTCATTTAAGAAAGTTTAGAATTCTTATTTCTAATTAACCATTCCAGCTTCTGCACTGATTTGAAATACAGAATTCTCCCTCAATAGCAAAGTACCAATGGCAGGAAGGAAAAAAGGAAAAAAAAAAACCCACAAAGATTTCTTTCTGAAATCATCATGGAAGCCTAATCAGGAGAAACTAAAGCAAGAATGGCCTGCTGCTGCTGCTAAGTCACTTCAGTCATGTCCGATTCTGTGAGACCCCATAGACGGCAGCCCACCAGGCCCCCCCGTCCCTGGGATTCTCCAGGCAAGAATACTGGAATGGGTTGCCATTTCCTTCTCCAATGCATGAAAGTGAAAAATGAAAGTGAAGTCGCTCAGTCGAATACAGGGCAAAACAGATCGCCACTGGTTAAAGGAAATGCTGTGAGACAAAACAACAACAAATCCTTCTAAGATCTTTGAAAGACAACAAACTGAATTACCAAACTCCAAAGTAATCTCTTACTGACAAGCAACCGTGCTTTATAATTCCGCAGGCTCTCACATGGTATTCTCTCTTAACAAAATCAGAAGTTTTAAAAAAATAATCAGAGGTATCTTACTAACAGATAAGTGTACAGAATGTTAAAAGCTAGAAAGACCTTGGAAATCATCTATTGAGTCTAACCTACCTATTTTAAGGTAAATGGAAATTTCTAAATGGTTAACTGAGTTTGCTAAGGACCTTTACCTGTCAGAAAACTTAAAGCAATTGACATTCACTGATTTTATTCTGGAGTGATAAAAATGTGTATCATTTTGTTGCAGAAACAGTCCATCAATTCTCACCTTTTGTTCTTATCCTCAAATCACATCCTTCTTCCAACACTTCTTTATTGATCCTATTTTTTTCTCTGATGCCCTTTTATAAATAACGCTTTACTTAATTTATTATGCTGCTTTCTGGTCTCCTCATGAAAATATGCTTCTAGAAACATAAAGTGGGCTTTATAGGGACACAGTTAACTCATAGTACCTTTGTGTGAATTAGAGAAAGGACTCCCTTTTGGAGGATATAGCCCCTCACGGCACTGTGTTGGCAAACAATGCAGGCTGGATTTCACCCCAGCTCAACCTCTAGGGCCCACACATTTGTACAGTGCACACACTTATCAACATACATTGCAGCCCTGGGATCTTTTTTTTTTTTTTTCATATATTTTTATTAGTTGGAGGCTAATTACTTTACAATATTGTAGTGGTTTTTGTCATACATTGACATGAATCAGCCATGGATCTTAAGAGGAAACTGAACAAGTGATTCACAAAGAGCAGAAGCATTTCTTTAGAAAGCAGGGCTGATTTCAGATGTCACAGGCATTGAGCTTCTGGGAGGACTCTATTTGCATTTTCAATGTAGACATGCACATCCTTAGTGATAAAAAAAAGACCAAAAAGAAGAAGGGGAAAAAAAAGGAAGAAGCTGGCAAGCGCTATGGAAGGGAGAGAATGGTACTTCTAGTTGTAGGGGAAAATATCTGTTTTAACACATATTCTCTTTTTGTTCTGATTTTTCCTTAAAAACCTTTTCATTAGGCTATGACTTTTGGCACTGCAAGACATGACCCCACACGAAATACCTCAAGAACATCATTACGGAGAACAAACAATGCCGAGTACCTGAAGGACAGGAATTCTGGCTAAGATTCTGGTTTTCTGGTTCTTCTTTGTAGACAATCTGTACGTCCAAAGTTTTCATTTCATCATCCTCAAGATCTTTCATTTGAATATTTTCTGCACCTTTATGAAAACAAAACACATGTTATAATCTCTATCTGATTATGATCTTGATGGTGAAAGCCCTACAAAGAGGTCATAAAATTTTAAACTTCTATTACGATTTCTCATAACCATTCCCTCTACCTTTTAAAACAACTAAACAAATCTTTTTGAATTTGAAATCTCGATTTGAAGCTTGAACTCCAGAGTCAGTTAGGACTTTATTATTCACAGTGTGGAAGACGGACCAGCAACTTCTTTAGGAGCTTGTTGGAAATACAAACTCTTGAGCCCCAACTGAATCAGAAGCTTCATTTTAACAAGATCCCTAGGTGATCCACAACTAAACCAAAGACAAGAACTATTAGCAGAAACACGCTTGTCTTCCATTCCTGACCTGACCCAAGACACCAGATGTATATTTAGACAGATAATTTCTGAAACAATTATAATCTTAAAGAAGACTCTGAAAGGCTAAGACCAGACACTCAGATGGTTTACCAAACTCAGCCCTTAAAATGATGCTCCGAGAAGATGCTATTAGCTTCAGGAAGCCAAGTGATAGCTCAGCCACTTAATCAAAACAGACTTCCTTTTAATCTCATTCTGGTTTGGTTCCAGATGGATTCTAGGCAAGAGAACCACCAGATAGTGTCTCAGATGATTCTATTCTGAAAAGGCAGTGAGTTGTGGAGTTTGAACCTTTAACTCTGGAATTTTCAAGCTATTTCTCTCATCATCTAAACCCAGAGAGTGAGCTCAGACTCTGCCTTTCCCCCAAATACTATGGGCAGATAGGCTAATTCTGGATGAAAGGGTTTGTCCTGATCCATTTTCAGGGGATATATACAACGAACTAATTCTGTAGACAAAAAACCACCTACCTCCCAGAACTCAACTTCACACTGGCCTCTCACTAGAGATATAGCTAAGAGTATTTGAAGGGGAAAATGTTTCTGACAGTGAGTGAAAAGCAGGTAGGAATGTAAGAAGCTCCAAGCAGAACTAGGAAGAAGGGCCGGTTTTCAGACCCTCACTCCCTTCCGAATATCCTACCTTTCTCCACCATCCACAGTTCGCTGAACTTGCTCTCTTCTTTCTCCAATGCAAGTTTCAAAGTTTTGGGCCAGTTCTCCTTGTCTGATCTGAGAAGGCATTCAACCATTTTCTCTGCACCTGCCATCAGCCCCTTGTTGGAACTTATCTAAGGAAGACAATTGCAGTGGACTGATCAGGTGTTTCAAAAGTTTTCATTTTATGAGTTTTTACTGAAGAAACATCAATTCAAATACTATCGAATTTAAAACCATTTTATACTCTGGTTCACTAGGTCTCTTTCATGACTGTTCTTGCCCCCATGCAACTTGATCTTTTAAGACACACTTCCCTTTATCCTTGTCCTCTTACATGTGATATCACCATGGCAAGCCATGTGTTCTTACCTCCTCTGAGATATTATTGTATTGACATCAGCTATATCAGGAAAACAAACTATTTCACACCTATTCAAAATATGGGTATACTGGAATAGGCATATTTGGAAGGATATAACAAAATATTAATGAATAGTTTTTTCTTGATAGTGAGACTTACATGGTTCTTATTCTTAATCATGATAATTAAAATTCACTGAGCAATTACTATTATGTGCCAGAGATATGTAAGCACTTTACATATATTATCTCATTCAAAGCCTATAAAAATACCTTACTAATAGGGTACCATTATTATCCCCATTTTATACAGGAAACAGAGACTTAGAGAAACTAAATGTGCCCAAGATCACACCACTAGTAAGTGGCTGAGCTTGGATTAACAAAATTGATTTGTGTCCAGAGACTGAATACTTAACCACTGGAGTCCATAACCTTTTTTCTTTTTATTTGCTAAACTGTTTGATTTTATTTAAATTTGTATAAAACATTATTCACAAAAGTAATAAAGTAATTTTAACTGAAAATAGGGCAAACCTAAAAAAAATCTGTGACACAAATTGATTACTCAGATCACAAATAAAAGTATCCTTCTAGGTAATTATGCCTTAGATTTGAGGACTTTAGTGGACTTTAATTATCTTACTCAGCTCTAAAACAACATAGGAAACAGAAGACATTCCTCATGGTCAAATTTTCCCCCAAATTCAATATTTAATATTAATTAAAATACCTGAATAATTTCTTCACATTCCTGATTAATTAAACATCCAGATATTTCAGGAAGGATATCTTCTGGATTGATTGTGGTTTTAAATTCTGGTTGTAAACGCTTTAAAAGTAATCTATACTCCTCCAATTTTTCAATTTTTTGGAAATCCCAACTTTCAATGGCTTCATAAAGTCCAGAATAACCTGCAAAGTAGGAAAAAAATAGCGCTCTTAGGACACCAACTAAAAAAATATTTTAAGATTAAGATCATAGAAATCACTTTTGAATGTATCGTGAGAGAACTGAAAGCAACTGTAAATCACTTCCATTATTTATGATCTTTCAAAAAGAAAATTCAATATTCATTTTAGGCACCCCACATTTCAGGTGGAGCTAGTGGTAAGAACCCTGGGTTCGATCCCTGGGTCAGAAAGATACCCTGGAGAAGGGAATGGCTATCCACTCCAGTATTCTTGCCTGGAGAATCCCATGGACAGAGAAGCCTGGTGGGCTACAGCCCATGGGTCGCAAAGAGTTGGACATGACTGAGTGATTAACACTTTCACTGAGAATAAATTTGAAGTCTTACATGTGGTCTTAGTAAGACGTCTTCCTTCCAAGGTACCCTATGGACTTCACCTGAAATCTCTGAATTGGCTTTCAATTGAGTCAAACCATCATGCTAAGTATCTTAGTGCAAAGCAGTAAAAAGGGCAAAAAGAAATATGAACGTCAATTCCTGCCCCTCAGGGCCTTACCGCCTACATTATTCCAAGAAAAGAATAGTAAGTACAATGGGAAATTTGAATGAAAAAATTATTTCCAACTAGAATTATCCAAGAATGCTTGGTTCTAAGTTTCTCTTCAGAGAACCACCAGGCTTGTCTGACTATAAGGCCCACACTCTTTTCATTGGGCTATAAAGACCACATCAGCACATATGAAGCTATTACCCAGCTTAATACCTGGAATATTGCAGTACCTTTGTGGGTGTGTGTCTCCTCTCTCTCACTCTTCTATCTTCCTGCAAAGATACCACTATCCGGTATTTGATTTATCACTCTTGATTTCTTTGAATAGTTGGGTGGCATATGCTCAATTCTCTAAAGAAACATGTTTAGTTTAAGCTTGCTTGAAATGTTTTAATTATATTCTTCACTAAATGCAATTTTCTCTGACTTTTTACAAAGTTTAATATTACATTTCTAAGTTTCACCTGTGCTGTCATCTGTAGCTTATGTTCATACATCTCCATTGCAGGATAATCAACTTGTGTGAATATCACAAAATGTATTTATCCATTCTCTTCCTGAAGGATACTAGGGTTGCTTCTAGCTTTGTTTCTTTGCTTGCTTGTTTTTGGCATTACCAACTGATTATAGTATGAACATTCTTTGTAAGTGTATTCTGGAATATATGTGTTAAGAAATTTTCTGGGCATATACTTAATAGTGAAACTGCTGGATAGAAGGAGAGCTGTAACTATAGGAGCTGATGCCGATTGTTTTTCAAAACAGTTGTAGCATTTACACTCCCTATGGTTATTCTTAAGATTTCCCATTATTAAAAATCCTCAAGCCTTCCCACTGTTGGACTTCCTAGATTTTGCTATTATGTTTCTAATTTACAACTTCCTAAATGCTAACTGGGCTGAGAATCTTTTCTCATGTTTATTAACCTTTCATGCTTCTTATTCTTTGAAGAGTCAGTTCACATTTTTTGCCCTGTAAATATTTTTTCTTTTCTAATTGATTTTAAGCCTTTTAAAAATATCATGGATACGAATTCCTTGGTGATAATGTAGTTTGAAAATATCCTCCCCCAGTTTGTCACTTGTTTTTTCACTTTCTGTATAGTGTTTTTTGATAAACAGATACTGTTAATTTTAATGTCCTCAAATTTATCAATCTAGGTTAATGTTTTAATGTCTCATAAATCCAGTCATACCCTAAGGTCAGAAAAATGTTCTTCTGTATACTAATCTAAAATAGTTAAACTTCTGCTATCATGAACCAAGTCTTGAATTCTTTTGACTTACTGTGTGTGTGCAAGTGTATGTATGTACATGGAATGAGGTAAGGAAGACAAGTTTATTTGTATCCACATGGATATGAAAGTTAGGGTTTGCCTGGTTTTTAACATCATCCCATTTTAAATGGCCCACTGCAATGTATCAAAAAGTCCCTCCTTTCTGAATAATCCTCTTTTCCCAGTGATCTCCAGTACATCAGAGTTCCATAAATATATGAGTCTGACTGAAGGCTCACCATTCTGTCTCACTGGTCAATTGTTCAATACCAGGGCCAGCATCACACTGTATCAATGCCTATGACTTTTAATAGATCTTGATATCTAAAAAAGGAACCCCCAACCTACTGAATTCTTCTTTAGAAGTGCACTGACTATTCTTGGGTCATAATGCTTCCACATACAGTTTAGAATCTGCTTGTCAAGTTCATAAAGAAGAATGTGGGATTTTTGTTTAGAATTGTACTGAATGCATCACTCAATGTGGGGAGCACTGACGCTTTTACGGTCCTCCTCTCCAAGCGCCCAGGTGTATGTCTCCACTTAGCTTGGACTTTTTTTTTCTCGGCTTTGCTGCACAGCTTGTAGGATCTCAGTTCCCCAACCAGGGATTGAATCCAGGCCATGGCAGTGAAAGAGTTCTAACCATTCGACCACCAAGGAATTCCCTAGAATTTCTTTATATTTTTTCAAAAAACCTTTTATCATTTTCTCTATTCAAACTCCACACATCTTTGGCTAGATGTGTTGCTAAATATATTATAACTTTTGTTACTATTAGAACTGGTATTTCATTTTGGATTACATTTGCCATTTTTTCCCAGTGGGTGGAAATACAACTAATTTTTGTATACTGATCTTACATTCAATAAACTTGCTAAACTGTCCCATTAGTTGTAATAACCTCTCTGTAGATTCCTTTGGAAATTTCAAGTAGGCAGTTATAACATCTGCCTGAAAATAGTCTTTACATTGCTTCAGATTAAGAGACATAAACTAAATGTGGATACTTATAAACTAATAGAATTTCACCTTTACAGAATCTTTAAACAGTCAAGTACTATACTCTGATTTGTGAGTAAAAAGAATGAACTAACCTGCTTGGTGAAGGGCATCCAGAAAGCCGCGGAACCAGCCTTCCTCCTGGAGCTCCAATAGGATTTGGAGGAAAAGTGAAGCAGCCTCCATGGGCCCCTTGTTGTTTTTCTCGGCCTGAATATGCTGCACCACATCTATAAACAGAGGCAAGAGGGACTCATCAAACTGCAGAACCGCTAATCACTGGAGGGAAGACCACTAATCATTGCAAGGGTTGTCAGATCTTCTCCAACGGGGCTGGGGATTCACAGCAATGGAAGGACCTGCAGGAAAGCAGCAAGTTATCTGTCTTGGTCAATCATACCCATTCTTCACTGCCCCCTACCCCTACCCCCAGCCTCTCTGGAAACTTCTCCTATCTGTTGTGGAAGTCCAGACACACGCTGGAGGGCAGTCCTTAAGAAAAGGAGTTTCTTAAAGATGTCTGCAAGAGTCTCCCCTTAACAAGTGAGAAGTCACGGTAGCACCAGGTTAGGTAGAAAAACCATGGCTTCTTCTAACATTTGAATGTTTCTTATTCAAAAGTCTGAATTAATCGCAGGAATAAAAGGGCGTGAGGATAGGACCACTCCTGTCATCAGTGACAATTACAGTGGACACAGCAACCAGAAAATCTGGAAAACTCAGCAGTGGCCACAGGTCTGGAAAAGGTCAGTTTTCATTCCAATCCCTAAGAAAGGCAATGCCAAAGAATGCTCAAACTACAGCAAAATTGCACTCATCTCACACGCTAGTGAAGTAATGTTAAAAATTCTCCAAGCCAGGCTTCAACAGTACATGAACTGAACTTCCAGATGTTCAAGCTAGATTTAGAAAAGGCAGGGGGGAAAAAGAAAAGAAAAGGCAGAGGAACCAGAGATCAAATGGCCAACATCTGTTGGATCATCAAAAAAGCAAGAGAATTCCAAAAAAACATCTACTTCTGCTTTATTGACTACGCCAAAGCCTTTGACTGTGTGGATCACAATAAACTGTGGAAAATTCTGAAAGAGATAAAAATACCAGACCACCTTATCTGTCTCTTGAGACATCTGNGACTGATGCTAAAGCTGAAGCTCCAATACTTTGGCCACCTGATGTGAAGAGCTGACTGATCTGAAAAGACCCTGATGCTGGGAAAGATTGAAGACAGGAGGAAAAGAGGACAACAGAGGATGAGATGGTTGGATGGCATCACCAACGCGATGGACATGAGTTTGAGTAAGCTCCAAGAGTTGGTGATGGACAGGGAGGCCTGGCATGCTGCAGTCCATGGGGTTGCAAACAGTCGGACACGACTGAGTGACTGAACTGAACTGAACAGCAACCAGAGTTAGAATAAACAGAGGTCCTTTCTTGGTCCTTTTTCCAGCTTTTGCTAAGACGTGTAAAAAACTTAGTAAACAGCAATCACAATGGAGTCAGGAGACCAGAAGGGGGCGCTCTCATGCCCTGTGCCCACAGCAGAGCCCAAGAGGAAGAAGTCAGACTTCTCTTCTTTCCTGGCAAGGACTGAGCCAAGGAAAAGCCACTGACTGTTTACTACAGCCCCTCCCAGCCTCCTTTTCTCCTCTATAGAAGTGTTCTTCCTTTGCCCTGCAGGGACCTGCATGTGGCTGCCATGACTGCACATCCTAGACTGCAGTTCTCTGCTGATCCTGAAAAAGTTTGTCTTTGCTGGAGAAATATCTGGCAGTCTATTTATTTCAGGTCAACAGGTGGTAGGAAATATGGTAGAAAAGAAAAAGCAGAAGAAGCTAAAGAAAACACAGTGAGGCCAGGTAACAGGCAACTATCCACCAACCAGCTGGTGGTCTTACTGATTTTGCACAGTGACTCCATGTTTGGGCTGATAACCAAACCATTACCTTCGTACGACCTGACATTTGATAATTTTCCCCACTGTCGAAGCAAAGCGAAGTCAGTTGCTCAGTTGTGTCCAATTCTTTGCGACACCATGGACTGTAGCCTGCTAAGCTCCTCCATCCATGGAATTTTCCAGGCAAGAGTACTGGAGTGGGTTGCCATTTCCTTCTCCAGAGGATCTTCCCGACCCAGGGATCGAACCCAGGTCTCCCGCACTGTAAGCAGATGCTCTACCGTCTGAACCACCAGGGAAGTCCTATTGTCAGTGGGATGTAAATTCTAAGGGAGTAATTCCAATTGTCTGGCAGGTTAACCTCTGTATTCTCAGAGTTTAGAAGACCTCGTACTCAATGTACACTTAACAAAGGTATGCTGAAGGAATGTTTAAGAAGACAGGAAGGAACGCCTCCCTTTTCTGCCAAGGTCTATGCAACAATAAAACAAACCCTTTTAAAGTATAAAATTCAACGGCTTTTAGAGATGTAAATCCATTACCACTATGTAATTTTACTGCCTTTTTATTACTGTAAAAAGAAATCTTAACCCATTAGCAGTCATTCCCCATTTCCCCTGTGGTAACTATGGATTTGCCTATTTTGGACATTTCATATGAATGGGATTATAGAGTATGTGGTCCTCATGGCTGGGTTCTTTCACTTAGCATAATGTTTTCAAGGTTCATCCATGTTGTAATCATGTATTATATTTAATCCTTTTCCCTGATGAATAATAATCCATTGTATGGATACACCAGTTAGTTAATGGGCATTTAGGTTTCTACATTTTTTCTTTTATGAACAGTAATGCTATAAGCGTTCATGTACAAGTTTTTGTGTGGACATATATATTCATTTCTCTTAAGTACATATACAGCTAGGCACAAGATTGCTGGGTCTTAAGGTCACATTCTGAAGCCTGGGGTTAGGATTTAACCAAAAGAGCTGAGAAAACAAGATGGGGGAGGGACAGATAATTTAATCAGTGTAACAGAAAACAGGAAAAGTGGGGTGAAAAGCAGAGTTTATGTGATAAAATACAAAGAAATGAACAGGAAAGATGTAAACCAACTACATGAAAACAGCTGCCTATGGGGCAGGACTTGAAATAAAAACTCTAGGGTATTGTTAACATTGAAAAATAAGATAATATTATACACAGTATTTGTAAGCTTGCTTTAAAAATTATTTATTTCTGGCTGCACGGGGTCCTCACTGCGGCACGGGCGGCTCTCGTTGCAGAGAGCAGGGGCCACTCTCTAGCTGTGCGGAGGCTTCTCACTGCAGTGGCTTCTTCTGTTGGAGCACAGTCTAGGCACACGGGCTTCAGGAGTTGCAGCAGGTGGCTCAGGAGTTGTGGCTCTCGGGCTCTAGAGCACAGGCTCAATAGCTGTGGCCCACGGGCTTAGTTGCTCCGCGGCACGTGGGATCTTCCCGGATCAGAGACTGAATCCATGTCTCCTACACTAGGAGGCAATTCTTTACCATGGAGCTACCGGAGAAGCCCTCAAGCTCACTTTTTAAACTTACCTTTTGGGGTTTTTTTGTTTTGTTTTATGAGGGGTTTATTGTCTTTTTTTTTTTTTTTTTAAGGTTTATTCAGAGAGATACATACTCTGCAGAAACTTTTGGTATTTTTATTGTGATGTATTATAACTATAAATTAAAGTTAATATATATTAAATAATAATTCCACCTATGCACTCCATAACACACTATGGTTTTCCATCAACACAGTCATCACACTTTTATTATCTATTGTTCAGTTACCTGACTTCACATATGCACTCTAATCTCAGAGTAGAACCATTCTTATCGATCCTTCATTTCCTAAAAGGATGCTTCCTATTAACTATTATGTATAGTAGTATGTGTTAATGCTAGCCTAAGGCCTGACACACACCTCAACTGGTGCTAAGTTGCTGGTTATTAAATCAGTATACTAATACATGAAAGAAGGGGATTCATATCATTGTTAGTGTTTCACTTTTTGTAGGATTTCTAGAAGAGACAGATGTCTTGCATGGCTTACATTCTTCAAGGGCCAAAACTACTCTGTGGCCATTAGGATGGTATTTTGTTACTTGTCTCTGAGCATAGCAACAAAGTGGGAGTCCTTTGTGTTGGTGGTATTCTTTCACTCCTCACTCCACAACCTGTGCTTTGGTTTTACAGAGCAATTAGCACTCAAGTTTCCTGTCAGCTTTAATACAGTTTCCAAAAACTGACTCACATCAGGAAAGTTATGTAGGCGTTTGGAGGAGACTCCCTCTTTCACCTCACTCTTTCCAGGCAGCCCCTCCCTTCTCTTTTCCCCAAGGCTCTGCTTACCCTTGGCACAAAGTACCTCAATACAAATCTGTAAAATGGCCATTATCCATCATCATGGGACTCAAATGTTGTGCGGAAACACCTGAATTGAAGCCTAAAGCCGTTCACTCCAGTGAGTCTTGCTCCTCTCATAATTTGAAAAGATACATGCACCCCAGTATTTATTACAGCACTATTTACAGTAGCCAAGACATGGAAGCAACCTAGATCTCCAATGACAGAGGAATGGATTAAAAAGATATGGGACATATATACAATGGAATATTACTCAGCCATAAAAAAGAATGACATAATGCCATTTGCAGAAACATGGATATACCTAGGGATTATCATACTAAGTGAACTCAGACAGAGAAAGACAAATATCATATCACTTATATGTGGAATCTTAAAAATGATACAAATGAACTTGTTTACAAAACAGAAACAGACTCACAGACCATGAAAACAAACTTATGGTTCCCAAAGGGGAGAGGTGGGGGAGAGAGAAATTAAGAGTCTTGGATTAACATATACGCACTACTATATACAAAACAGGTAATCTATGGAGCACCCACTGGATAGTGCCTAGAACTCTGCTCAATATTCTGTGATAACCTATATGAGAAAAGAATCTGAAAAAGAATGGTATAGGTGTATCTGAATGGTATAGGTGGTATATATAGGTATAACTGAATCACTTTGCTGTACATGAAACTAATGCAACATTGTAAATCAACTATAACCAAGATAAAATAAAAATCAAATTTATAAAAGTTTCCAGTTATCTGCTGATAAGATCAAGATCTGGCAGAGTGAGTCTCAACTTCTTCCAGAGTACAGCACTTTCTTATCATTTGTGTACTTCGGTCCTCACCTGTCTCCACCAACCCCCTGACTTTATTAAAGTATTTTAAGGAAGGGCTTGTATCTTATTCTGAATCTTTGATGTCAGCCCAAAGACCAACACAGTAGACGGACATAACTATTAGCAGAAATAAATGAAACGGACAGCGACATGTTTCCCCAGCTTTAAGTCTAAACAAATGTGCAGCTCTAAGCAAGTCGTTTCACTTCGCCGGGACTCAGTTTCCCCATCTGGGCCTCCAAGGGCTTCTCAAACTCTTGACAAACCCCAGTCTAAAATATTGCGAAGATCTTGCCACAAACCCGGCGTTAACTCTATTGATTGAAAGACCGGGATGGGGGTGGAAGGGGAATAAGAAATAAGTCCTGAACTGTTTTCTTGCCCCAAGGGACAAGCGGCAACCACTCACCGTCCCTAAACCAGGGAGTCATGTAGCTCAGGATGTAGGTAGGATCCAGGATCTTCCTGACATAGCCGCCGAAGGCGTGCAAATTCCGCCGCTGTTCAGCCGTCATTCCGGCGGCTCAGCTCCCCGCGGCCACCTGCCTCGCCTGCGCTCCGCTCGGCTATGCTCCGCTCGGCTGCGCTCCGAGAAAACACAGCTGTGAGGCGCGAGAAATTTTCCCAAGTGAGCACCCAGCGCGGAGGCGGAGCTGCAGGGGAACCCGGGCTGCGGAGGAAAAATCGAAACTGCAACTAGCGGTGGGGGCGGGACGCCCAGGCTCCCGGCGCGGTTTCGTTTCCTCTCGGGCTCGCGGATCCCAAGGGACCCAAGGGGATCCCCGCGAGTTGCTCTTTGGTGTTCACGTCATCTTAAGACTTTCTGTTTTGCTTTTAGAGCCGTAAAGTTTAGATACGATAAAATGCATAGGTGTTAATTTGTAATTCCGTGAGTTTGGGGAAATGTATGCGGGTGTAACCACTTTGCCCAGGTTGTCTGGGTCCTGTGGTCTAGTGTCTTAACTTTACAGGAGACTGTCACCTGTTTTCCAAAGTGGCCATCGCGTGCTGCCTTCCCGCCTGGAGTGTGAGAGCTTCAGGTGATGCAAGTCCAGGAAATACACACGCTGGTCAGTCTGTTGTTCGCTTGTTTGGTTTGGGCTTTTGCCTGGTATGAAATAGTGCACTGTTGTCAAAAATATGTAGTCCAAATATCCTCTCCCAGTCTGTCTTACATCATTCTCTTTAAGGTCTTTTGAGCATAAATTTATTTTGGTGAAACCTAAATAAATTTAAATAATAAATAAATTTACCAGTTTTTTCGTTGTTTACTACCTTTTGTGTCCTCTTTGATGAATCTTTGCCTACTCCAAGATCATAAAGATATTCTTTGTTTTCTTTTAGGGTCTTTGTGTTTTCAGCTTTTACCCTTAGGTTATGGGCATCTCAAATTAATTTTGTTGTGGTATGAGGTAGAGGTCAAGCTTTCACTTTTTCCATACTTGTTTCACACAAACTATTTCATCAAAAACTTTTCCCTTTTAATAGCCTTGGCACCTTTGTCAAAAAATCAACTGACTGTGTACTATATCTAATTTTATTCTGTTCCACTTATCTATTTGTTTATACTGCTTTATTTCTCTTTGTAAAGACTACGCTGGGACTTACCTGGTGGTCCAGTGGCTAAAACTCTTGCTCCCAGTGCAGAGGGCCTTGGTGTGATCCCTTGTAGGGAACTAGATCCCACATTGCAACTAAAGATCCTGTGTGCCACAACTGAGGCCTGGTACAACCAAATAAATTAAAAAATACTAAAGAAAAAAGAGTACATTGACGGTTCTGGGATCTTTGGATTTTGCTATGAAATTTTCTCACCTGGAGAATCTCAGGGACAGAGGAGCCTCCCGGCTCTAGGGTCGCAAAGCATCAGACACCTCGGAGGGACTTTCACTGTCATGAACTATTCAGTTGGCCACTTCCTGTTTTTAAAAAAGCATATTGGGGTTTTGATCAGAACTATATCAAACCTACAGGTGAACTTGAGGAGAAATGACATTTTTAACAGTAGTGAGCCTTCAAATCCATGGATGTAAGTTTTCATTTATCTGGGTCTTTAATTTCCCTCAGCATTATTTTATAGTTTTATAGTTTTACAAGTACAGATCTTCTACATCTCTATTAAATTTATTCTTAACTATTTTACATTCTTTGATGCTTCTGTAAATTGAATTGTTTTTAAAGGGTCATTTTCAAATTTTTTGTTGCTGGTATATAGAATTTATTAATTCACTTGTATTATGCAATTCACTAACTCACTTACTAGCTTTAGAGAGTTACTGTTCTGTAGAGTTCTTAAAAATTTCTATGTAAACAGTCATGCCATTTGGGAATACATGGGTTTTATTTCTTCTTTTCCTATCCTTACGCCTTTTATTTTGCTTCTTTCCCACATGGCACCTCCTATAGCTTCAGAAGAAAGCTGAATAAAACTGGTGCAAGTTGACACACCTATCTTATTACTAATCTCAGCGGGGAAACAATCAATGTTCACTTTAATCACAAACTCTGTAACAGGGAAGAACAAACCTGACTCCATACTGAATCCATTCCTTTAGCTCTAACATGTGTGGTCTGTTGCCTGTGCTTAGTCACGCTGACTCTGCACCAAGTGTTCCTCAAACTCAAAAGAATGCTGCCTTCAGCCTGAAATATACAGGATAGTCCATTCTCAGGACTCTGATCTTTAGAGGTGTAACACCTTTCCATTCATAGAGAGAGAAAAATTTGAAAGCAGAGCATAACATTTGTCTTGTCGGAGGTTTGTAGGAACATCATGCCAGACCTAGGTCAACAGCAGTAAGAACAAAGGATTCCAGTGCCAAGAAGTTTGCAACAACCAGCCACACCGCTTTCCCTTTTAATATAAAAGAAGGCTCAGTTCTAACTTTTGAAGGATGGTTCCTTAGGACACTAGTCCACCATCTTCTTGGTCTGTTGGATTTCCAAACAAAGTCATTATTCCCTGACCCAGCAGCTTGTCTTTGAATTTACTGGCCAGTCATACAGTGAGTGGTACAAGCTTGGACTCAGTAAACAGGTTGGCTATTGGTTTTTCCTAGATGCCCTTTATCAGATTGATGTTTTCTTCATTTCTGCTTTGCTCAGAGTTTTTTTTTTTTTAATCATGAATAGGTGTCAAATTTCTCACCTTTTAATATCTATTGAGGTGATCATATATTCTGTTAATATACTGAATTTCATTTATTGATTTTTTTAATATTAAATCAACCTAGAACTCTCGGGATAAATCACATTTGATCATGAAGTAGCACCCTTTTAAAAACATATTTCTGGATTCAGTTTGCTAATATTTTGTATTTATGGTCATACATTTTCTTGTAATGTTAAGGTTATGCTGACCTTATAAAACAAAAGTTTGTGTAAGACAGGTATTGTTCCTTCCTTAAATATTTAACAAAATATACCAGTGAAGCCACTTGGGATTGGAGTTTTGTTTGAAGATTCTTATTATTATTAATTTATTTTTTATTGAAGGATAATTGCTTTACAGAATTTTGTTTTCTGTCAAACCTTAACATGAATCAGCCATAGGTACACATATATTCCCTCCCTTTTGAACCTCTCTCCCATCTCCCACCCCATTCCACCCCTCTAGATTGATACATGAAGATTCTTCATTAACAGTTCAATTTCTTTACTAGCTATAAGGCTATTCTAATTTTTTGTTGTTGTTATTTAGTTGTTAAGTTGTGTCTGACTCTTTTGCAACCCCATGGACTGAAGTCCACCAGGCTCTTCTGTCTATGGGATTTTCCAGGCAAGAATACTATAGTGGGTTGCCATTTTTTCTCCAAAGGATCTTCCAGACCCAGGGATCAAACACTCATCTCCGGCATTGGCAGGCAGATTCTTTACCACTGAGCCACCTGGGAAGCCCTAATTTTTTACCTGACATCAAATCAGTTTTGGTTAAGTTGTGCTTATTAAGGAATTTGGCCATTTCCTCTAAATCATTAAATTTGTTGATATAAAGCTATTCATGATATTCTTTATCTTTTTACCTTAAAAAAATCAGTCTTGTAGAATCCTTTCCTCAGCTGAGTTTTAACATCCCATCAGTTTGATAGGTTGTGTTTTCAACATCATTCCATTTGAAATAGTTTCTAATATCCCTGTGATTCCTTCTTTAACCTGTGAGTTAACTAGAAATATGCTGCTTATTTTTCAAATATTGGGAATTTCCTAAATAGCTTGATGTTATTGACTTCCGATTTCAAACTGTTGTGATCCAAAAGCATATGTTGTAGGGTCTCGATCTTTTGGAATCTATTGGAATTTGCTTTATGACCCAGCATATAGACAATCTTGATATACCTTTCAGATATACTTAAGAAGAATGTGTATTCTGTAGTTCTTGAGTATAATATTTGATAAATTTTAATTACATCAGGTTGGTTTATGAGTGTGGTTCTAGTCTCCTATATCCTTACTATTCATAGTTTTGTTTACTTGTTGTATCAAGGACTGAGAGGGGTGTTAAAATCTCCAGTTATGATTACTGGTTTGTCCATGTGTCCCTTTTGTTCTATCAATTTTTGCTTCATAAATTTTGTAGCTCTGTTATTAGATGTGTACACATTTAGGATAGTTGTTTTCCTGATAAATTATGTCTTTATGAAATGTCTTTTTGTCTGTGTTGATACTTGTTATATCAAAGTCTACTTCATGTGTTATTACAGAACCTATAACAGCTTTCTTATGCTTACTATTTGCATGGTATATCATTTTCCATCCTATTATTTTCAACTTCTCTGTTAATATGTACAGTGTACCTTTAGTATACAGTTTATAGTTAGGTGTTCCTTTTTTATCCAGTCTGACATCTCTGCCTTTTAATTGGAACATTAAATCTATTTATATTTAGTCATTTTATGAGTTTAAAACTGCAGTTTTGCTGTTTGTTGCATCTGATTTTGTCAGCTGTAAATTGTTTTCTTTTTAGTTTTGTCTGTGTGTGTATGTGTATATATATATATATATTACAATGTGCATCTTTAACTTATATCCATCTACTTATAGTTAATATACCACATCAAGTAAAAATATAAGATCTTTGCAACCATGTAATTCCATCCATCCCAGCCCATCATTTTGCTATTGTCCTAATTTTTACTTTTTTATGCATGATAAACCACATAATACAATGCTATAAGCTTTATTGTAAAAAGTCAGTTGTCTTTTAAATAAGAAAATTATTTTCTTTTCTATTTCCCATTTACCATTTCTAGTGTTATTCTTTCCCATTTGTAGATAATGGTTTCTTTCCATCTGATGTCATTTCTTCTGGTTCCTCCAATATGTCGTCTAGGCTTCCAGTGAATTTATCATTTTAAGTATTGTTTTGAAGAGTTCTAAGATTTTCACTGTTTTTTTCTTCTTTCAGTTTCTCAGCTGAGAAACTCTATGTTCACCATTATAGCTGTCTTTTAAATTCATGTATATATTTCTAATTATATCTTTAGAGTCTTTGCTAATTCCACCACGTGGATTATCTCACAGTATATGGTTGGGTTTTTTCTTTCTTTTTACTTTTTT